TACAGACCACGCTCACAAGGGCCCTTGAAAAGAACTTGGTTGGTAAGATTGTCCCGAATCGTAAAATCCTTAGAGGTAAAAAGAAGAGAGCAGTTATTATCTTTAGTAAATTGATGGACGGAAAGAAGATGAGAATTAATGTGAGGGGAATGGAGGAGGTTGGTTAAGGTAAAAGTGTGGAGAGGGGTGGTGAGTGTACCTGAACCTGTATGGTCAATAGGGTAGGTGTTACCTCCTGCAGTGGTGATGGAATTGGTGCCATGATATGGTGCCAGAGTATGTAGCCGAGACAAATCAGGCGTGACATGAGTATTTGCTCCAGTGTCCAGATGCCAGTTCGAACTAGCTTCAGTGGATTGGCTTGCATAAAATGCCTGCGGAGGACCAGTGTAGGATTCATCGTAGCAGTGCCAACAATTCCAGACCGCATGGCCGGGCTTCCCACAAAGTTGACATGTGACAGACGCCCCTCGTCCGCCACCTCTGCCGCGCGGATCATCACGGCCCAGTGGCTGCCGGCCACCCCTGCTGCCAGGGTTACTGCCCCGGTAAGGGCCTCCTCGTCCTCGTGACGGCCCACGGCCACGTCCAGCCCCTCGTCCGGAATTGGTGAAAAGGGCATTATGGATATCGACAGACGAGGTAGAGCCAGAGTCGCCTAGAGAACATTTCTTCTCAAAGGACAGGTTCAGTTCTTCAGAGAGTAGCCAGGAAGAGACCTGATTAAAAGTGACACTGGCAATATTGGTGCGAATGTTTTGTTTGAGTGCGGCGTAGTCGGCCGGTAAACCACGAAGAACACACAAGATAATATCTTGTTCAGAGATATCTTCATGAGCCAATTTGAGAGACGACACAATGGTGAGAACAGTGTCCAAGTACGTTTGCATGGAATCGGTACCCTTAGTGACACCGTGCAGGCGCTCCTTCAGTTGAAAAATATGAGTGCGTGAAAGAAAATTGTACCGTTGTTCAAGATGATTCCAGATTGCAGTAGATGTGGGAAGAGGATGAATATGAGTCTGAACCGTGGGTGAAACAATTGCAAGGAGACAGGCCCGAATCTGAGCGTCGACGATAAGCCATGATTCATAGGCTGGATTGGATTTCATAACCGGGGGTGCATCCTTGCCCGGCGCAGCAGCCTTCTCATCAAGAATAAGAGCCGGTGGAGAGGTTTCAGATCCATCAACATAACCGAGTAAGCGA